ATGCATATATACAGTATTCTTCTTCAGCTACACCACTGTGTGTAAAACATGTTAAAATGGCAGTTTGCACTGGATGAGAATGAACAGTGTCTAGAGGTCACACGGTCAGTGATATGCTGCATGTGACAGATTTTGTGATTCTATTAATTGTGTAGTAACAGAAGCAGAACTCTCCGTCTTCTCTCTCTTTTCTCAGCCCTTATCCCTCTCACTTTAGCCCTCCTTGGTTACCATAGGAACTGCTGAACAAAGCCCTAAGCCCACATGGGTTGTTTTGAGCTCCATATACTCTTGCTTTGTACACAACTATTGTGTATCATACAGCTATCGTTGTGAAGACAGTCATCATAATGCATTCCTTAGCCCCTAACCCTATTCCAAGTCTTAACAATCAAACACCCCAGTGAAGGTGTATCAGGGAGGGAGGCCCAGCCAAAATGTCCTCTCTGCCATGGTATTAAATTCAAACACACACACACACACACCCCAGCAGCCTTCCCTGGCAATGGCTGGCAGTTAGTTGGGGCAATAAAACTTTCTCAGTGAGTTTGACCAGGGTCCACATACACACATTCACACACATACATGCACACAATAGTAAAATCCACCATGCCAAGGTGTGTGTGTGTGTGTGTGTACTGAAGTGTTGACATTTGACTGTGTGGTTACTATAGAGAAGTGTTACCTAACTTAAAGCATTGTCTGTGTGTGTACAGTGATTTGTCAGTTTATTAGGTACACCTACCTGTAGCTAAAATGAATGCAGTCTAATATAATGGTCCTTCAATCAGCCGTCCTTTATGAAGGCGAAAATGTTTAGTTTTTGTTTAATGTACAGGGATGTTGATACATGATCATTTTGGATGAAGTAGTCTGTGGTGCCTCTCTATCTCTCTTGCTTGCAGGTATTGTTTATACAGGCCAATTTTTGCTCATAACTCCCAAACTGTAAACTTATTTTTTCATGCCTTTTCCTCTGTGTGGCCGTGAATGTCTTGCAGGCATGGCTGATTTGACAAGAGTTGCCTTAATTGTAATTTTGCCCATTTCATCATTGTATAAAGCCATAATATTCTCAGAAAAAGCTGCATTATTTTTCATCAAGCTGTTGTTGAACTGGGCCTAATTTCAGGTTTAAAACTTTAAATGATTTTTTATGTTTAGCAAGCTTATTGGATTGTGTGGCCTTGATGGAAGTATGTGCTTTGAGTGTTTTGTTTTTTTTTGTTTGTTTTATGATTGTGTTATTATCTTCAGTAATTTATGTAACTGAAGTCTTTACTGATTCTTCACATATTCTGATTTTAAAGCCGCCCAAGTGGTGAGAACGCGAGACACAGAATCCAGTGGTTTAGCTTAAGTCAGATCTGCTGAAAGCTGCCACCAATTTATTGATCTTGGATTACAAATGTAAGCCCAGTGTGTTAGTGAGCCATAGATGTAGGCCTTGTGTGCCATGTGTTTGTCTAAATGGGTCGGTGTAGCAGGCTGTATTGATCCCTTGTCAGTTTTAAGTGTTCGATTCTGCTGGTGATGTTGCTGCAGGAAAATACACTATCTATAGATCTCAGCTAAAATAAAACCGTTAATAAACAGCGAACCTGTGCTGTGTTCACAGTTCCCTGTGGCAGTGATGATAATCACAGTAATTGGTGGGGGTATTGTTATCACCAGCATATATCTACACAAACTAGTAGGCCAACATACTTTATCTTCACTCCCCATATGTGATACAGCACATAAGCTAAACCATGGTTTGCCTCACAGTTTGTCCTTGAGTCGAAGTATACACTTATTGCGTGAGTTTGAAGTTGTAATGATTTTATTTTGGTTTGAGGTATTTGCGGGATTTTGCAATAACACTGACCCGTCACTGATGTGTGACTAAAAGGTTTCTTAAAACCGATTTTAGAAAGACTACCTGTGTGCTTCCCAGTGTTTCTGACTGTGGTCACTGCTGTCACACACCACACATGGGGCAGAGCAGCAGTAGTTATGGAGCTGAGGGTGACATCATGTTGTAGCAGCCAAAGAGCATCCCCTGGGAAGAAGCATTCTCCATCTTACAAGTGCTCTTTACCACTATTAAGTGCATCTAGCAAGCAGCAAGCGTGTGGCCGCATAACTGATGATATGTCAACATCTGTGTTCATACTGCAGGTGTGTCTCTGTTGACATAGCTGTCAGAGGCACACGAACGTTCTGCCTGGGTTAACTTTAAATCCTGACTTTAAGAGGTTTACACCTAACAGTGTTGTTTAGTGTAGCGTAATCAAAATAAATGTTGATCCAAGTCTGAAAGTGTAGAGCTGCACCTGACTAGCTCAGTCTCACATGCCTTAAAGTGGCCTTTCCTCTGGTATCACCAGCGTAATATTACATTCAGTTTTGTCTTCTGATTAAGCAAATATCTTCAACAAACCCACAGTATGAGTCAATCATAGTGATGGACTAGAAAACCAAAATGCAAAATGTAATCTCACTTGCTGTCTCAGAGTATATTTAGTGTCAATCTGTGTCCTTGACTTTGTCTTTCATGTTTTTTGAGCAAACAAACAAATAGTTTGTGGCAAAGCTTGGAGACTGATGTGTGCTTCAGCTTTGCCCTGAGCCAAAGACATCTGGTAGCCAGCTCACATGTTTTATTCATACTGTGTGTGTGTAAAAGAGAGGGACTTGCTGGGTTTCTTATTACCTTCTGGTGTATAGGCCAGTAACAGGATCTACAGGTGCTGCTCTGCCTTTATACTCAGTACCTCAAGACTGTCTCAGCAGCTCAGCTGTATATGTGGTGTAAGCTGATAGTGCTTTTATTTTCTTTAGACTCTAGACCAGAGCCCCGTATCTCATTAAATTGTGACAGTGGTCAAATATAGGCAAAAACATATGTCATATAAAAAAATTTAAGAAATGTGAATGGGGTTTTCCTCTGCGTAATTGCAACGGAAACAGCACCACCTCACATTTTATATCCTTCCCTGTTGTGAGACTGTGTGCCGGTGTGCCTTTGAGTGTATTATTCCAGCTAGCTCTTCCCTGCTGACAGTTACTTCCCTCCTCCCAAAAGACTCAAGGTGAACACACACACACACACTCTCACACACACTCTCTCTCTCTCTCCCTCCCATTGGTAGTTTTTCCATCTGCTCAGCTAGAGGTCATCATCATGCTTCCCCTACCATGTGTCATTTCTATAACTTCATATGGGATCTTGTTCTCCTGTCATGTTTCCACAGCTCAAAACACTTGGCTCTGGCAGACACGTTACATGTTTTGATAAAGACACTGCACCTTTGATCTTCTGATAAACTGGTTTTTGTGATTAAATTTGAGTCATTAGAGTGAGTAAGAAAATTTGTTTGTTTTTTTTTGTCTCAAATATTTTTGACCTGTCTGGGTGATTGGGTGTATTTGGGAGATGTGAGAGGATATTCTGGATTGGAAAGCATTCCCTCCTAGTGGGCTGTTTCTTTCCTGTCACACACACAGACACACACTCTCTTTCTCCCATTCTCTTTCTGTCTCTCTCTGTCTCTGCCTCTCTCTCGACTGGAGTGTGTTTCCTGTTGGCTGCCTGCCTTTACACACATGCACACACCCAAACAACTCTGGGTCAGCTGGTGGCTGGACTTTGATTCATTTCTTCAGAATGTGTTTTGACCAAAGCCGTGCAGACACTGTCAGCTCTGCTTCAACACTCATTGTTTTATGCCGCTACAGTAAACCACAGTAAACAAGCCTCTGGTAGAGGATCAACTCCCAGTGAATATGAGCAACATTGCTCATATTTCTGCCTTCCTCTCTGCTCATTTTTACACTGCTGATGATTTTACAGTGTATTTTCCATATGTCATATGACACTTGAAACAATTTTAGAATTTACAAATCTCAGAGAAAGTTATATTTAAGTATTTTAAATATATAGAGCCAAGCATATGCATTGGCATGACTTATTGTACAGTATTGGTTGTTTTTAATGTGTCACAGGTTTTTAAGCATATAAATTGACCAGCATGCTAAAGGAATACTGCAATATCCAGGGCTCCAGACTAACATTTCATACTGGTGGCACTGGTGGTACCAAGTCTCTCACTTGTTGGCACCACCCCTGTTTTATAACATAATGCAAAAGAAACGGTGCTTTTCACAAGTTATTTTAAATAACCTTAAAGTACCATCCAATGTGCATAGCGTACATTGATAATGAAATGAGAAAGTATTTTGTGTACCTTGTTTGTGATTTAATGCTAGCCTATTTCTGCTGTTTGGCCATGTATGTGTTGGACTTCTTGCGCAGCTCAGCTCTCTCACTCACCTGGCCAGTCAAAGCTCATTCTTGGGCTAAAGTTACTTGTAGCCTACTACTTAAAGAAGGACTTGATGGTGGGTTCAAACTTCAAACTGGGACTTCACTAGATATGAGCAGCGCATGTGCACAACTTTAACAGTTTGATCTCTTCGATCCACACTGACTCTGACTTCCATGCAGCGTCTCTCAGCAAAACAGCTGTCTGTCAGGAGGAGGACAGCACTGTCTTCACCAGGCTGGCTGACAGCAGAAATGTGTGGGACAAAAATAGTCTTCATATGTAGGCTCATTAGCAAGAAATCAGCAGTGTTTTTATTTATGGTTTATTTATTTTTTATATTATACCTGTTGTGCTATAAAGGACAGTTCACAGTGACACCAGGAGCCTGATCCATCAGAAGAGATTCAAGTAAAAAGTTGTTAGGTCTGTAAGCCTTTGTTTGTGCATAGCCTGTTCATTTCACAGTCGCACCCATTGTGACCTTAAAAAAAAAAAAAGTCAGTCGAACCTTAAATATATTTGTTTTGTTTTTTTTATTTTTCAAAAATGTTTCTTTGGGTGCTGCTTGATAGGAGTTTGATAGTGATAGTCATGCACAAATCTCATCCTCACTGTAAGACAATTTATTTGTTCACTTTCTCTTTGCCCATCCACCCCTGATCCTCCCTCCCTCCATCTGCATCTGAACAGGAGAACTTACAGCAGTTGATAGTCATGCCCCTTCCTAACATCCTCTGTATCGCCAAGGATCCACTATCAGGTAACACACATTCTGCATACCCTATTGTTAATCAAGTCCAGCTACATTCTAATATGTGTTTTAAAAGAGTTGTATTATATACACAAGATTAATCACTAACTGCACTTTTGGTTACTGCCATCCCAATGATAGCAGGTTTCAGGGTCTGCACAGATTTAGATAAATGACATCAGTTATAAACACTGGACTCTTGGAGAATATGAATTATTGCTACAAGAGCAGAAAGGATGTTTCTATTGGCTGCTGACATTACAGTGCATATTAGGTACAGGATTAGGTGCTTATATCCTTTACCAATTTTCATCTGGAACTTTAATAGGTGACTAAGTTAGATGATAGCCGCTGATTAAAAGAAAATTCATGACTATACAGTATAGCAGATATTTTTTACCTTAATATGGTCTATATAAAGGTGAAAATGAAATGTATGATAAGCTGTTGGCAGTGACAGAACAATATACTCTGAGTAAAAGAGCTACTCTGAATCATCTGAAAGTTTATTGTAATGAGCTTTTGTATGTGGTGGCCTAGTTGCAATAAACATCTGGATAACCACTATCATTAAAGACTTTGTAGGCATAAAGAATAGTTATTAAGATCTGTATTTTCAGTTAGTCCTTTGGTTTAACTCTGGTTACAGCCAGCAAAGTTCATGTCCTTTTTAAATAAATCAATAAAAAAGTAAGCTAATGTTCAAAAGACATCTACTTTGAAAACATAATACTTCAACTACACCAATGTTTTTGCAAGTATGAATGCCTATGAATATATAAAAACACTAAGTACGGTATGCTTTGAGAAAGTCATTGTGGTAAATGGAGTAGTGCACAGTGCTGCTGTCTTAGTCGCCAGCGCCCTTTAGATCATTTCTTCAAATAGTGTTCAAACACGTGTGTGACTTTTATTAGCCTGTTATCTTGTGGTGACTTTTTAGTTTCACTTTTCTTTTCTAAAAAGTGTTGAATTTAAATGTTTGTGATACACAGTATGTCTCTGTTCCTCCAGCCAAGAGCATGGAAGAAATGAAAAGACTTTTGTTGCTGCTACTAGGCTGTGCCGTCCAGGTAACACACACACACAGCAGCTTACTGTGCCAGCCAGTCTCGCCCAGGAAGTGCGTTGGTGTCTGTTTAGTTTTGCATGTCTGAACAGAGCCACTGAGTGGCTGCTGATAACATGCTGGGTGGGACTGGATTCAGAAACATATGGAGTCACATTAATGGTTTACTAAAGTAACAATCGCGTGAAGCACTAGGATGAAAATATTGTCTATTTGAACACTGATTTAAGAGCCTTGCTTGAGGGCAATGTCAGAGTTGGTTAAAGTTGTATAAGGTAATTAAATTGACAGCAAGTTTAGGAGCATAAATCGGCATATTTTGAATTCTGTCCTGAGTTAGCCAGAAAGGTGAGTTAAGAGTTAATTGGGTTACCTATAATTAAGGCGAAGAGGCGAGTCATGTGGGAGGTGAGGGCGCAGGTGGTTCCTCTGCTTGTATGGTTGTTCATTCAGCTCTTTGTTGTCTCTCATTTTCCCTGTCCCTTGGCTCTGCACCCAACAAATGGCTTTCTTTATCTTATCCTTCCCTTGGTTTGCTTTGCCCATGGCTATTGTTTTTGTCCCTTCCTCACTCCCTACTTTCTAATTTCCCTCGCTTTCTTTTTGTCTTCCCTCCTTTTCTCTCCTTCCCTACCTGTACTGGTTCTGCTGGTTCCATGAAAGAGAAGGGAAATGAGTGAGCGATGAATGAAAACAGGGAGAGAGGGAAGGAGGGGCTAATAAAGCCACATTAAAATGTTGCTGATGTACAAAATATCTCTTTGCAATAACCATTTGCAAAAGTGCAGTCTACATGAAACAAGTAATGGCAACATACAGAAACATTAACAACCTGGAGTCCTTGTCTTGCATAAAAAGTTCCACCTTTTAAATGATCTTTTGTGTGTGTGTGTGTGTGTCTGTTTGCATATATAATGTGTGTCTGTGCACATGCTCAGTGTGAGCATAAGGAGGAGATGATAGAGAAAATCAAGCTGCTGGACATTGAGACGCAGGCTGCCATTGTCTCCCACATCCAGGAGGTCAGTAGTGCACAATGCTGATTAGACTACACCAGTGATAAGTGTTGAACATCATTTCAATATTATGATGTCGTCACACAGTTATTATAAAATAATTTTTTTTTAAAAGCAGCAAGTCTTCACATTTGACAAGTGGTAGCCAGAGAATATTATAACTTAACTTTAAAAACCAACAAACCCAAGGGGACTTAAAAATGGCTAAAAAACATCCAAGAGGACAGAACCAGGACATTTTTTAAAATTATTATCACAATATCAGTGAAGAGGAAGATACTCCCACTGACACAAAGACTTGAGTGACATTTGGCCTGATGATTGAACAAAACGAGCAGTTTGAATATATCAGTTTGGGCTTTTGGAAATTGTGTCACTTTTTACAGTTTGATGGACATTTGTAGGCTGAAAAATTAATCCAGATTAAATAGTAAAGGAAAAAACCCTAAGTTGCAGGCAGTCATAAAATTGTTGTCCTCTGTGCAAAAGGTGCCTCATCATTGACCTTTTATGTTAGTGAAGATGAGATGTTGGTCTGTGTAAGCAGGTTTCCTGTAGACTGTGGCAACTTCCCATCTTTTTCCTGTTCACTGGTTAACTCAATGTCTTGGTTGATGATGCTTTAGTACATTTTGGGAAAAGTGTCATTCACCTTGTAGTGTCCGGTGGAGTAGAAGCTGTTGGATTAGCTAGTTGTTCCTGTGCATCCTGTATAGCGTGTTAATGATAACGGTCAAGGTTTATCTTCTTTGCAAGTAGTGTTAAAATTGAAACCGCCCAGTGGCATGTCACAGAAACAACACTTCAGGGAATATGCTGTCTGATCTTGTTAAACACTGCACAGAAATATTTTATCTGAATTTGAAGGCACTTTGGCTAAACATTTACAGTATGGGAAATATTTGGAACAAAAAATTTAAGTGGAAACAAGAAACTTCCTACTTTATGGTAAAAGGAATTTACTAAACTGCTACATACAGCCTAACTTCTGCTGCGTGTATGTATGTTTGTTGTAGGTCACTCATAACCAGATGAATGTTCTTGACCTCTCCTGGCTGGACGAAGGAGCAGAGCTTGCACACGAAGAGCTGGAACCTCTGTCGCGTAACATGGCTGCGTCGCTACAACAACTGATTGACCAGAGAGACAAAGCCACCGAGGTTCTGAAACACAAACACATACACCACTGCCACACTGATACTGGCATTTTATCAATACTGATAAGAATTAAAGAACTGTCATTGCTTGTTTTCTTACATGATGGCTATAATGCTGTTAATTTGGTTAATGTGTTAGATTTTTGTGAAAATAATGCAGATTTGTAATGTCCCAATAATTGAATGGTGTTTCATAGGGTTTGTAAATGAACAAGAATCAAATAGTAATATAGTAAAAACAATTCTGCCTTCCAGGTGATTGTGGATCTGACCCAGGAGAGGGATTACCTCTCCAGTCAGCAGCCCCAGGAAGCATGCAGGAACCTGGACCTGAACAGCCTGGAATGCGGGCAGAGTTCTGGAGGTGTGGGAGTGAATAACGGAGGATCGACTGTGACTCTGTCTGGGCTGAATAAAGAAGAGAAACAGCATCTCTCAGTGGAGCTCGCTGATACCAAGGCCAAGCTCCGCAGATATAGACAAGAACTGTAAGTCTTTTAATCAAATAAAGTCAAAGCAAAGTCAAAACCTGGAAGTTGGTCCACTAACCTGTACACATCTATCACATTGTTCACAGATCCATATGATATAATCTTTGTCATACTAATTGGTCCTAAAAATGATGTTTCATGGCAAACAGATCTTCTTCCATTATGACTGAAGCAGCAGCTCACCAAGCACTGTTACTCATCAGAGTGATTCAAAAACTTTCTGTGGGTATCGGTGCTTTAAGGACAGCAGCTGGAAGTTATTATGCTAGTTCTGATGGATCTACAGAGGAATCACACAAGCAAGCTGAGATGAATTATTAACTTCCACTCTACACACAGCAACTGCAAGCCATTTAGCAGAATCTAGATTCTTTTACCAAATCAAACTAAGGCTTATGGTATGACTAGTCTGTTGTATGTTTCCCCCATTTCATTTCTGTTAAACTCTTAAATAACTCTCAGCCTGTCTGGCTATTGCCAGGGTGCTGATTATACAGCATAATGAATGATTGTAAAACTTTTAATTGTAGCTGCTCTGTTAGTGTTTATGTGTGTGCATGTGTACCTTTGCAGGGAGGAGAAGACAGAGCATCTGATGGATTCAAAGCATGAAGTGGAGCGTCTGGATCAGGAGTTACAGAGGCTGAAACAAGAGGTCAGGATGTGTTTACAACCGGTAGTGTCCAATTTCTGTGACTAGAGGATAAATGATGGTGGGGGGGAAATGGCTTCTAGGCAGGGATTGATGTTGATTAGTGGCACTTGTAATCCTAACTATTTTTTGATACTGATTTGAAATTTAAATTTGCCTTCATAAAACAGCTGTGGAATAGAAACTTAACCTCAATGAGATCAATAAAAGTTGGTGACTGAGGTTTAGTGGGTAGAGATGTTGTCTCCCAAACGGAGGGTTAGAGGTTCGAATAACGGTGCCTGCAGTCCACACGTCGAAGTGTCCTTGGGTAAGACACTGAACCCCAAGCTGCCTCTGATGGTTAGAACCATCGTTGTGAGTTGGTGCCACAGATGGCTGCCTCGGTTATGTTCAGGAAACAAATTGCTTGTGTGTGTGTGTGTGTGTGTGTGTGTGTGTGTGTGTGTGTGTGTGTGTGTGTGTAAAACATACTTATGTTCACTTCTACAAGACCAGAGTGGAGGTACAACAACAGCTTCATATTACACACTAGTATACACTTAACCATCATATTATGACTCAGCTGAGCTTCTGTATTGTGGCTATTATAAGAAACCACTATATAACCTATTACTGGATATGTTTAGTGTCACTTTACAGAACTATTCATATACAGTGTTTTGACTTTTTGGGATGGAATTTTGGGCAAAGATGTTCCTTCTGCAACATAGCCAAGACACATTTGACTTGTTTTCTGACCTTGTACCTGGTTTTGTTGGTTTTTGGAGTGTTGATCCACATCAGTGTTTGATTTTTATTTTTTTTATTTTTTACATTTGGTTTGGTTTTGAAATGTATAAAGATTTCAGCTGACAATGGAAACTTATCCACAATATGAAGCCAGACTTGACATCTGGTACTGACAGGCCAATCAACGTACGTGTGTGTGTGTGTGTGTGTGTGTGTGTGTGTGGTCATTCAGGAGCTTCGTGAAGACAACCTGACTCTGATGGAAACAAAGGTGTTGTTGGAAGAGCAGCTTTTGGCCTCCAGGGGCCGCTGTGATAAATTGCACATGCTGGAGAAAGACAACCTGTTACTACGAGCAAAGATACACGACCTGGAAATGGTATTATACTGCATCTGTCTGTTAGAATCATACACTGATGTCTTTGTTGTGCAATATTAAAACTTATTCTCAAACAGACTGTCAACTTTTTCTTCAAAAACAAAACACAAAAGGAGATGCTTGAACATCTTTTTTGACATTTTCTTTGAGGTGACAAATGTTATAAATTATATCAAATCTGTTGTTGCATTTGGCACTGGGTTTAAGAATTCTTTGACGTTATTTGTGTCTGTTGTGCAGGAGAGGGACAATGAACGTCGGAGGCTGGAGGAGTTGGTGGAGGAGAACATGCTGCTGGAGATTGGACAGAAACAGAGTATGAATGAGTCAGCACATCTAGGCTGGGAGCTGGAACAGCTGGCCAAGAACAATGACAACACTAGCACAGACAGTAAGAGGCCCACTTTTTTGTTATACTTTGTTATATCCTGTTGTTTTCCTGTGTCCAGAAAGGTTATATTTCGACCTAACCAAATCATTTTTCTCTGTTACAGCTCATAAATCATTGGTCCATGAGCTAAATGAGTGTGTTTCCAGTCGAGTGTTGAAGCTGGAGAAGGAGGCCCGGGAGCTGCAGGCCTCTATAGAGAAACTGAAGGAGGAAAACCATCTCCTGCAGGAACAGCAGCTCCACTCACAGGAGCTGGACAGGGAGAACCAGAGTCTCAGCAAGAAGGTGGGGGGCCTGGATACATTCGAGCCCTTTGTACAGGGAGGAGAAAGTATTCAAAAATACTTCAAAGATTTACAGGCAACCTAAATAACCCTACAAATATGTTTTAATTGTTAAAGAGAGGAACTGGTATAATTTTCTATTAGGTGTTATAGAGTTACAGTATATTGTAATTTTATTTATTGATTGATTGTTAGTTGGAGCGTCTTCAGGGCTTATTGGACCAGGAGAGACTGACCAATCAGGACATGGAGTCTCTGGGAGAGGAATTATTAAAAGAAAAACAAAATCTGGAGAGACAAATGCATGCTCTGAGGGCAGAGAAGGATCGACAGGTAATTAACACACACACACACTCTCTCAAGTAAAATGTTAATATTGTTAATAAGAATAAATTTTTGTTGACACCTCGTTCCTTTGTTCTGCTTGTCCTATCCAATCAGATTTCGGAGTTGGAGAGCGAGAAGCAACACCTGTCTGATGCGGTGGCATCCCTTCAGGAGCGCGCTCAGTCTAACAGTGAAGCGAGGGTCCGTGAAGTGGAAGCAGAGAACCATTTGCTACACCAGAATATCACTGACACAAGCTCCCGACTGGCCAGCCTGGAAACTCAACTCAAAGTAGCTAGCGAGGAGGCAAAGAGGCTGAGAGAGAGGGCGGATCGCTGTGAGGAGGCAGAGAGAGAGGCAGCAAGGCTGGAACGGAGCAGGGACACTCTGAACAGAGAAGTAACAATATTAATAAAATACTGCATGTATTTATGTTCTATTATGATTGATATAAAAATTAGTCTATAAGATGTAGTTGTCCCTGTTTTGTCTACAGGTGGTGTCTTTGCGTGCATGCAGCGAGCAATCAGAAGCTCTAGAGAAGCAGGTGTCTTCCCTGGAGCAGGAGGTGCACAGGCTGAAACGGGAGGCAGAGGAGGCCCAGCAAGAGCTGCAGCGGCTGGGGAGGTATGAGGTGGAGAACAGCCAGCTGTCAAAGGAGAACCTGGACCTCCATTGCTCACTGGAAAACCTCCGCTCCTCATCTGCCTGCCTGGCCACCCTGCAGGAGGAGCATAAGGCGGCGCAGAGAGAAACACAGGAGCTGCAGAGGAGGCTGGAAGAAGTCAGAGAGGAGGCACAAACAGAGAAGAAGAGGACAGAAAGGCTGGAATTGAATGTGGTGGGTCTGAACCAGGAGAAGCATCACTTAGAAGAGGAAATAGAGAGGAGTAAAGAGGAGAGGGAAGAGCTGGAGAGAGAGAGGAGGGAGACACACAGCAGAGAGGAAGCACTGAAAAGGGAAGTAGAGGAACTGAAGGAGGAACGGAGAAGGAGGGAAGAAGGAGACAAGGAGAGAATGAAGCTCCAACTGGACCTGGAGCAATCGGAGAAGGGCAGGAAGCACCTGGAGAAGGACAGCTGGAGAATCAGAAGTTTGCTGGAGGAGAAAGAGACAGAACTGGAGGAGAAAAGCAGGCAATTGGCTGCAGTGAAGAAGGAAGGCATGGCTCTGAGTAAGGAAGTGGACAGGCTGAAAGAGGTCGCAGTCAAAGCCAAAGAGATGGAGAGGGAGAACAAGGAGCTGCAGAAACAGGCGACTATTGACAAGAGAACTCTGGCCACTCTCAGAGAGGTGGGAGGAAAAGCTTACAGTTATTCTTTATTTTTAACATGTGCCAGAGGCTGTTTGTGGAGTAAATGGCTATGAACATATTAATTTTATATCTGTATATTTTGTCAGAAGTTTTACTCATCAAATTTTATTTTTGTTAGGACAGAAGAGCTGAAATTACACTTAAATAGATTAAGGTTTTCCCAATCAACTACAGTGTAGTCTGTAACAAAACACAAGATCTGTTGAATAGCTGTCCTGGATCACATGATCTTCTTCAGCAGAGCCAACATGGATTAATGTAAATGAATTGAATGAATAAAAAATGGAAATTTAAATTTATGCAGTCCCATCAAAACTGGGCAAATTGCATTTACATAAGAAGCTGATGTATTATCAAAAGCACAATCTCAGAGTTGAATTGTATAGTACTGAATAACTACAATAAATATACATTATAACTATGTATAGTACATGAGGTACTATAAATGTTATTAGGTAGATAACACTGACTGGTTTATATCCAGCTTTTAATACAAGACTAATATCAGCCCAACATTCTGACTAAACCATCGTGTACATTGTTCAAATCCTGAAGTGCATTTTGTCATTTGTATGGGAATGTAGATGTTTATGTAGTTTCATTGGGGATCACACATCTTTATGTGCAGGAGTTGGTGTCAGAGAAGCTGAGTGTTCAGCAGAAAAATATTGAGTTAGAGAGACTTAGTGAAGAACTGGAGAAGATTGGACTGAACAGAGAAAAACTACTGCAGCAAGCACACACGCTGGAGGACAGGTGACTTTCTCACTGCAATATTTTAATCCCATTCTAGGACAACTGATTGGATTGAAATTATTCTCTGTGTAGTAATGAATCTTTCCTCAGTAAATTTAAGAATGGGTGGGTTCATTCATTGGTTTACTGGTGTATTTTGTGCATGTATGTTAGCAAGTACAGGTTGCTGGAGTCTCAGCTGGAGGAAACTGTTCAACAAACGATGAAGATGAAGGAAGAGAAAATCTCTACTCTGGAAAATAGACTAGAGGAGAGCAACAGACTCAACACTATGCTGCGTGCTGAGCTAGCCACGGTAAGGATACACATGCCCTTAGATATCCTTACATTGTACCTGGAAACACTCTTTTCCCACCCTGTTTTCTGTATTCGAATATATGGAAATAAACAGCCTTACTGTTACATGCAGAAGCTAATACAGTGCAGTGAGAAGTAATGACATGGTAATGACAAGGGGGCACCTGTGGTTCAGTGGGTAGAGCAGTCGTCTCCCAACCGGAGGACAGAGGTGGTTCGAATCTTGGTGCCTGCAGTCTTTGTGTCGAAGTGTCCTTGGGCAAGACACTGAACCCCCCGTTGCCCCCGATGGTTAGAGCCATCGGTTGAGTTGGCGCTGCAGATGGCTGCCTCGGTTCTGTTCTGGAAACAAATTCCTTCTGTGTGTAAAATACTTGGCCAAATAAAAGTGATTATCCTGATTATCTTTATTACAAATGAAGTTCAATTTGAATGCTTCACCAAACACCTAAGCTGAATGTAGTGAACTTGCCCAGAATAGCTCAGCAACTCAGCAGCATGATCTAATCTTTTCTTTGCTTGCAGACAGTAGACACTGTGTAATTGACTAATATACGTATGTTGGCTTATTCTCAAACAATAAAATTGTGTTATGAATTGTTAATATCAGTATGTTATTATAAATCAAGTTTTTTGGGTTCTTCTCCCTAGGTTCGTCAGAGAGGGTCTGCCCTGCGTGAGCAACAGGAGAAGGAAGAAAACCCCAATTCCCAACGGCGCTCAGACCGCGAGCAGGGTTATGGGTCAGCCACTGCTGAGCTGCTACGAATCAAAGATCATCTTATTGATGTAGAAAAAAATGTAAGTAGTACATCTGAATCCATGAACATAAACCTAGTCTCACATTTCTGTTATTAGGTTTGGTATAGTTTCAATTCAGTTCAATTCAAATAACTCTGTTGATCCCTTAGGGGCTGTTTAAAAGTGTTCTATATGTAATAGTATTTTGTCTGTGTGTGTGTGTGTGTGTGTGTGTGTGTGTGTGTGTGTGTGTGTGTGTGTGTGTGTATGTAATATTTTTTTCCTACAGAAGTTTTTGTTCCTCCTACAATTTTATATTTCAGATATTAAAAGAAAAATCACAAAAATGACACGTGCTTTTATTTATTACTCAAATGTTTTCCTCCTAAATGTGGACTGTTATTTTCTGCAGAATGCCTCTCTGCAGACAGAAAGCAGTCTATTGAAGGAGCAGCTCAAACAGCTGGAGAAGCAGAACACTTCCCTTAACAACCAGATGGTGGTGCTGCAGCGACACACCACCAACCTGCAGGAACAGAATTCAGCTTTACATACACAGACAGCAAAAATACAAGTATGTTGTTTATCATTCTGACAAATCACACAAAAATTCAGTTTTTTGCTAATTGTGGCAGTTATTTTTAATTGTTCATTTCTTATGGTTCTCTAGGTGGAGAACTCCACACTCTCCTCTCAGAGTGCGTCTCTCATGGCACAGAATGCTGTGCTGCAGGGCCAAGTCACCGCTTTGGAGGCGGAGGTAGAGACATGGCAGCGACAGCGTGAGGAAGCATGGCGAGGTCGAGAAAGTGTGCTCAGCGACCACGAACGCCTGCTGAGCGTTCATGAGAGGCAAGCCCAGGAGTATGAGCAGCTGATCAGTCAGCATGCTGCCCTGAAAGGCAAACAGAGAGCGCTAGAGAGTGAACACAGGACACTTCAAAGCAAGTAAGTTTGTGAGTGAGTGAGGATGACTAGAAGTGATAATAAGCTTAGCAGTATTTACCTAATTTGAGTGGTATTGTTTTAACATAGATATAAGCTGGTGTTGACTAGCTATAAACTGATGTTGTGGTCATAAATTGGACCTGTCCATTAGCTGTTACCATAGTTCTATTTACTAGTTGTATTATAGACAAAGTAGATTTCAGGGTCTCTTTTCCTCTTGTTCTTCTGTTCAGAATTGTTACAATGCCAAACAGTGTGGAACTAGTATAGAAGTAAGACTTTATAGAGAGAATGAACCTTTCCCATTAGATTTGTAAAGGTTTCAGAAACTGTTCAGAAACAAATATTTCTGTCACCGAACAAGGTGGATTTGATTGCAGACTTGGTCCACGTTGGCAGGGCCTCAGTAACTGCCATTTAACCAGTGTAATCACACTGCCAACCTGACTCGTGCATTAGATCAAGTCGAAGAGAAAGAAGCAACATAATATTGATGCACTTTTCTCCTTTTTCATATTTGTAGCCGTACATATTTTTATGGCCACCATGTGTGAAGAAAAGGAGGGGTCATACTTAGTGTCATGACGTCAAAGGTTTATGTAAATTTCATGTAGTGCACCCAAACATGATAGCATGGCGTGCTCAAGATGGAATAAGACCTCTGCTGTGCGTGGCTGTCTGTGTGTCTGCCTGCAGGTATTGTATTTTGATGCAGCAGAAAGAGAAATGGGAGGAGCAGGAGGGGCGTGGTCAGAAAGAGAAGGATGACCTAAACCAGGAGATCCAAAAGAATCGGCTGCTACAGCAAGAGAATCTACAGCTAAAAACAGAAGTGGACAGGTACTGTGTGTTCACATACACACACAGTTAGGTTTAAGGCTAAACATGAGAAACTTAGGGTGTTTTCATACCTGCCTTGTTTAGTGTGGTTGAATTGAGCTCTGGTTTGTTTTCCCCCTTGGTGCGGTTTTTTGGGCAAGTCTTAATACAGCAATTTCTTTAAGTCCATTTGGCATTTTGTTGGCATAGTTTTATTTGGTTTATTGCCCAAATATTTTCCATAGTTATGAGCAAATGCAGATTATGCTGTTTTTTCATGTTCCAGAGCAAATTTGTTTCATATTACTATTCCCCCGTAGAGAATCTTGATCTTCCTGTGTTTACTTTCTCGTTCCCACCCCAGACTCCTTTAACCAGTGAGCGAAGGGAATGTTTTTCATATGATTTATAAGTGATGCATTTTGGTTCTCTGGGAATTTTCTCTGTGTGAAAAGAAACCAAACCAAGGGGAAAATGAATCAAGTTTACACTGATTGGAACTTGTGCAAACGAACTACAGGTTTGAAAAGACGGCTAAGTTGTAGAATGACCTGCCTGAGGCACTCAGAATTACTTAAACACGATCTTCTTTTAGATCACTTCTTTTAACTAATTTTTATTGATATCCTTAGAATAATTTTAATGTTTTTGTGTGACATCTTTTTTTATATTTTACACACTTCATGTTTTTATATCCAACACACTTTCCAACATGTGTTTTTACATATTTTTGAGTTTTGATTTTATTCCTGCCTTTAGTGTTTGTTATGTTTAAAGCACTTGGTAAATATTAGTCCAGGGTCAGGTTTTCAAATCAGCTTGGAAGTTGTTTTCCTTAGATACAGTATAAGCTGTAAAATGGTTTGGTTCAGGTACAGTGTAGGTATAATGTGGTTAAGGTTAGAGAAAGAACCTGGGAGCACAGTTGGCTACTGATTTCAAAATTGTGAGTTGATCCCTTGACCTTTCTTGTACTTGGTTTTTCCCTTCTTTCTGACTTCTTCTGTTCCTTCTTTAGCCTGACACAGATCCAGTCACAACAGTCAGAGAAAAGTGAGGGGTTCCAACAGCGCATGAATGAGCTCAAAAGCTCATTAAGCTCTGCTCAGCTGGAAGCGAGTCGATGGATGGCACGATACGATTCACTAGTGGAGCAACACCAAGGCCTGGATCTAACCATGACCAAACTCGATAACCACTGTGAGGTAAACTGGGTCTTTCATTTTAGCACAGGGCAGCAGGGAGAAAAAGTTTCTTGTAGCATAGCAGTGTTAGACTTAAACATATTCAGCTTTCTTCCTGTTACTTAATTAATCTGCCTCCTGTGTACATGCATGTGTATGTTAAGCTGTTGAGTCGACTGAAAGGGAACCTGGAAGAGGAGAACCACCACCTCTTGAGTCAGATCGACCTCTTGAGTAAGCAGAACCATACACTGCTAGAGAGGAGCATGGAGAGCAAAGAACTCTATCATCAGGAACAGAAACTCTACATGTAAGTACACACAACCCAACACCTGCAGCACAGACTACACTTGTAATTGTAACACCATACAACAACTGTACCTGTGAAGCTATGTATTGAATAATATTTTATAAATGCTGTCAGAAAAGGAGTATTTACAGTACTGTATATACACTAAAACTGTTAAAGAAAGAATGGTTCCAAAAGATAGAAGAGTAATGTAAATTTGAATCTTTTTCTGCCCTCTCTTTCTCTGCCTGTCACTCTGTTTAGTGATAAACTGAATGCTCTCCGTCGGCAAAAAGAGAAACTAGAGGAGAAGATCATGGACCAATACAAGTTCTATGACCCCACACCCAAAAAGTAATACTTTCTTCATTAACAGCACCTTATTTCTAGAGTTGCAGCTGGATGATAGTAGGGAAGAAATTGCTTGATGACACGTGAGCAGTCACATCACAGAAATGAAGCCATTTCTAACCAAACATATGGTAGTTTGGTTGAGCTGAGCTGAACACAGAAGTTTCTGTATGATATGAAAAGTCAGAGTCAGAATACTTTCAGTATTGCACAAGGTGCAGGAACCTAGTGTCAGATTTGATCCATGCCTGAAACAGGCAGCAAACACCTGAGAAACACACTGTAATGTTACTGTACTGAGCTTTGCAGCCTACAACAAACAACCCAACAGACACTAATGTATTATGCATGCTGTTGCCTGTTTTTTTAAAACATGATCATAGATTGTACTCATACACAGGGCTAAAAATATTGAGATTAAAGCATAACAAGTGGAATAATTGTTTATTTATTTGCTTTTTCTACTGTTTTTTTTCTGCTGATTTATGAGCTTCAACAAAGTTTTGTGGTGTACAAGTTGTTCTGAATCTGAATGTAACTGGCTATAATATAACAGATATTGATGTTTGATACATGGTACAACAAATATAAATGTTGTGTGTTGTCAGGAGGAGTCAGTGGTCTGGAGCAAAAGCTTTAGCCAAACTGATTAAACCTCGAAAAGAGAGCAGCAGGGAGAGAGGAGGCGACCGAGACAAGGAAGGGGGCAGAGAGAGAGAACGGACAAAGAGTGCCCCTGACATTCCCCTACCTGCCCCACCCCCACTCATCCCCCCTGAGAACCCACCCCCTCTTCCCCAACGGACAGGAAGTGACTCGCATGACAGCGGCCATGCCCACAGTAACCAAAGCAACCACACTACCAGCCCCGGCCTGGGACCACAGAGTCCAGGACTGACACCTGTCAGCCAAGGTAAACACACTATACACACAAGGCCATGCCAAACACATCCAAAAACAAAAAGCTCTCTTCATCAAACATTAGTTATGTGGAGATCTCTGCAGATGAGTAATCATAATTTCAGGACTCTGCCCTGTCAAGGACACATTCAGAATATCTGTTTCCTTCATGCAGACACTGGAGGAGTCATGTCTTGTGTTTCTTCTTCATGGGGTATAAAAGAAACCTGTAATAATGTGCGTCATTATGACGTACATTCACAGCATATACCAAAATACTTTCTTTTTTCTTCAGGTAAAAAAATAAATAAAACACAAAGCTGCTTATAAACATGACTAAGGATGAGGTGCACTTCCATGGTGCTGCTACAGAGGGAGCTGTTGACCACCATAAATTGAGTGGATGACTGACAGTGACTTTAAAGTTTCTCACAACCATTATCATCTGCTGCATCTGTTCTCTGCTGTTTCTTCTCTAACAAGATTCTGCTCTGTAGTAGAAATACTAATAGTGCTTGGAGGTATCTGGTGGTTCCTGGGCAATTCTATAATATAGACAATACACACACAGTTAATTTATGATTATAATGTATGGTACAGAACAAACTATGCCAAAAATTGTACAAATTTTACACTTCTAGATAGAAACAAAACAAACATCTAGTTTTGGCTGATCTTGACTGGTAGTCACTAAATGTCACAGTTTGGGACAGTCAGTCACATGTTAAGTGTGATATAACCATTCCACCTTCGGGTCCATACTCCACCAGAGTTATATCGAGTTATATACAGTATCTATGTTTTAATAATTCCCAGCTTTTACTGTTACTTTCATCAGTGTAAAATGTATCAGTGTTTTTTACTTCATGCTAATTTGCTACATTACAAGGCAGCAAAACACTTTTAGAAGTTTTATTTGTATTAATTTAAGAGTACTGTGACTTATCTAATAACTGTAGCCATTTCTTTTTCTCCTTCTTATTGCAAGGAAGGCAGTAGCCGTCCCTGGTAGGAAGCAGTAAAATGACAGCTCCCCTTTGATTTTTGATTCAGTTCTATTGAAACAATGGCAAACACAACACTGTGGCATATGGAGAGGAAGAGGATGAACCAAAGTTTGGGCCTGGAAACAGAATGTTACATCAGCACTTGACAAACAGATAGCCTTGAATTCAGTCAGTGATACCATGTTTGGTAATTTAATTCACCATGAATTGAATCAAAACTATTGCAAGTATCTGGAGCAGAAAACGTGAAAGCTTTCCTTCCCTTCTCTGTCCAAATTCTAGAGACATACAGCAGACATACACCGATCAGCCATAACATTATGACCACCTGCCTAATACTGTTTACATAGGAGTCAACATGACAGTTGGTTGACACTCGTGTCACTCTGCAGCTCACTGTGCATCTTCTATGAATCCATTTACTTCCACAGTTCTACTGTCAGGAAGAGCACAGATGTGTCTACAATTCAGTGAAAAACTTATGTAAAAGAAGTGAAAACTGGTCGTGAGGACGAGTTAGAGAGAATTGTTTAGACAAATCCAACAGCCTCACCACTCTAGGTGTGATATCACCACTACAGCCCCTGACTCTTTCTCTTCATAGAGACCAATGGACAGTATTTCTCATTTTCAACCATTTTAACAAAGATTCAAATACATTTCTAATCTTTTGAAAAGTACAAATGGAAGTTAAAAGTTTAATCTACAGTAGGTCAACCTCATCATCAGTGAGCCATGGGCGTCCATGACCCTGTCTCCAGTTCACCATTTGTCCTTCCTTAGACACTGTTGGTAGGTACTAACCACTACAGACCAACAACACCCACCAAGACCTGCAGACTGGGAGATGCTCTGACCCAGTCATCTCACCATCACAGGTTGGCCCTTGTCAAAGTCACTCAGATCCTTACACTTACCCATTTTTCCTGCTTCCAACACATCAACTTTGAGGACTGAATGTTCACTTGCTGTCTAATATAGCCCACACACTGACAGGTGCCACTGTAACAGATAGTCAGTGTTATTCACTTCACCTGCCAGTGGTCATAATGTTATTGCTGATCGGTGTATATGGGCTCTCCATCTCTTGCTTACATTGTAACTCAGTCCCACAAACTGGCCACGCTGGCTGCTCTGCTTCTGGTTGACTAGCTTGAGGACAGTCCTTTGTCTATCCATCCATCCCTCCATCCATTATCAGCTGCTTATGCAGGGTTTGGTCCCCAGAGCATCAGGTTTAGTAGGGAAGTCCAGACATTAAGGATTGGGCCACTTCTTTGTGGCTTATCAAATTAAACTGATAATGAAACAGGATACTGTACTGTATTGACAATGCCCTCTGAGGCTATGGCAGTCAGGGTCATGATGGTAACAGATACTGTTTGTATTGTTGGTATATCGCTATGTTTCACAGAGGTACATAGTAAAACTGGTGTACCAGCACATGGCTAATCCAGCCTGTCTACTTGGGATGAGGACAAGTAGATAATGCTCTGTATTAAAGGGTCATATACAACAAATACTGGGCATCACAATACACTGTAGCTACTTTTCATCATCCTCTCCTAGTAATTGAACTGGGTTCCAATGCATGTTCTAACTTTAGTTTCTATTTCCATGGGTTTTTGTTTGATTGCTCTACTTTTAAAATTGAATCCCACTCAAGGCTGAACTCAATTCATTCTTCATTCAGCAAAAGGCTTTTAAAAACTTGGAAATGTAAATGTAACTCTTGCCAACCTCTCTACTGTACAGCTGCATACATCTTATGTGATTGTTCTTCCCAGCATAGATTAGAGTTATACCTACAATTATATCTGTCATTTCCTGTGAACTGAGTTTTTCACCAGTAGTTGAATTATGAGTGAGTTGGGGTCAGTCCTGAGTGTAAAGCATGATTACTTACCAACAGAATGTTGTGTTTTTGTTTTGTTCTGCTGGGTTCTCTTGCACAGTATTACTTCATTTACATTCTGAAATTCAGATACTTAATCATTTCTTAATCAACTATTTTCTTTCATTTATTCACTGTCACCATTCTCTCTCTACATTTCTCCATATCTCTGTCCAATTCTCTTCTACTCAGCTCCTCCTGTCCCAAAACGCTTCAGTTTTTTCCGCAGCAAAAGTCAAGACAAGCTCCTCTCCTCCTCCTCATCATCCTCCTCCCCCCCCTCCCGGCCCTCCCTCTCTCTCACCAGACGACTACGATTTTGGTCTTCCACTGACATGACACCAGACGTCATCACTAGCCAGTCAATCTCGGCCAACGGAGTATTCTGATATCTTCCTCATCATCATCATTTTTAACACATTGTCATCATCATTGTCACTGTCACCCCCAGCCTTTCAGCGTTTCACTCCAAAATGCACACACATCATACATGCATGCTCCTCATAAACACTAACACAGGTACACCGTATACTCAGTACAAGTAAACACAAGCAAGTGCATGTTGCCGTTCACCAGCCAGTATTACTAGTAAGTACGTACAATGTGTAAATGTGGTTTATGTACAGTTGAAGTCAGAAGTTTACATATGCTGAAGTCATTAAAACGGATTTTTTGTTTTTACCATTCCACAGATGTCATGTTAACAAACTCTCATTTTAGTAAGTCAGTTAGGACATGTACTTTATACAATGACACAAGAAATGTTTCCAGCAGTTGTTTACAAATTGATTATTTCACTTATAAGTCACTATATCACAGTTTCAGTGGGTCAGAACAGTGACATACACTCAGTCACCTGTGCCTTTAAACAACTTGGAAAATTTCAAAAAACGATGTCATGGCTTTAGAAGCTTCTGATTGGCTAATTGACATCATTTGAGTCAATAGGAGGTGCAGCTGTGGATGTGCCTACCTTCAAACTCAGTACCTTTTTGTCTGACATCATGGCTTAATCAAGAGAAATCAGCCAAGACCTCATCAAAAAAATTGTCAGCCTCCACAAGTCTGGTTCATCCTTGGGACCAAATTCCAAATACCTGACGGTGCCACGTTCATCTGTAAAAACAATACTACGCAAGTATAAACACAACGGGACAACACAGCCGTCATACAGCTCAGGAAGGAGACACATTCTGTCTCTTAGAGATGAACGTACTTTGGTCCAAAAAATACAAATTGATCCCTGAACAACAGCAAAAGACCTTGTGAAGACACTGGAGGAAACGGGTACCAAAGTATCTATATCCACAGTAAAACCAGTCCTATATCGACATAACCTGAAAGGCTGCTCAGCAATGAAGAAGCCACGGCTCCAAGACTACCATAAAAAGGCAGACTACAGTTTGCAGCTGCACATGGGGACAAAGATCTGACTTTTTGGAGAAATGTCCTCTGGTGTGATGAAACAAAAATTTAACATTTTGGCCATAATGACCACCGTTATGTCTGGAGGAACAAGGGGGAAGTTTGCAAGCCAAGGAATAATATCCCAACTGTGAAGCACGGGGGTGGCAGCATCATGCCGTGGGGAGTCTTTGCTGCAGGAGGGACTGGGCACGTCACAAAGTGGATGGCATCATGAAGAAGGAAGATGTGGATCTATTGAAACAATATCTCAAGACATCAGCCAGGAAGTTAAAGCTTTTTGGGTCTTCCAAATAGACGATGACCCCAAGCAGACTTCCAAAGTTAAGGACAACAAAGTCAAGGTATCAGAGTGGCCGTCACAAAGCCCTGACCTCAGGCCAATAGAACAATTTAAAGGCAACGCAACCAAATACTAACCGGGTGTATGTAAACTTCTGATCCACTGGGAATGTGATGAAAGAAATAAAACCTGAAAAAAATCTTTCTTTATTATTCCGACATTTGACATTCTTAAAATAAAAAAGTAGTGATCCTAACTGACCGAAGACAGGGAATGTTTGTAGGGGTAAATGAAACTGAGTTCAAATGTATTTGGCTAAGGTGTATGGAAACTTCTGACTTCAAATGTACGTGTGTGAGCTTTTATCTGCACTGCTGTTTCCAAGCATGCCAGGCTTGCCTTTAGACATTTGCATGTCTTTGAAGATGACGTGTTTGTTTTAGATTAGTATCTGTATAAATGATGTGCGTGCGCAGTCACCTTCCTTTAAAGATTTTAATCTGACAAGTGTGTGTCAGTGAGATCGATGGCTGTGTTAACAGCCGCTCTCATTTCAGCCTGTTGTGAGTTGCTTGAAGATAGATATGTGCTTCACAAAGCTTTGCTGCAAAGATTTCTTTTTACTTAGTAGTTTCAGGTCACCATAGCACCCAGTTTCTGCACTCTTTATCACCTGCCACCTGGGCTAAATCTCTATGAAATCTATATGAAAAGAGTTTAAGCACCAGAAGTGTAAACAGGTTTTTAAACATTATGTTAAAGTAAAATCAGCATTTTATAGCAAGATAATAGCCAGCTTAAATCAAGAATTTTGACATGAGAAAATACACAAAGCACACATCACACAAAGTAATGAATAGGTTCAGATATTTTCAAGATGGTACTGACCTTTATAGTAACTATTTAAATTTGGTATAATTGTCCCTGTTCTCCACAGTGGTCGCAGGTGTGAAGTTCAGCTGAAGCTGTCAAGGGCCTTAAGCAGCTTGAGTTCTATAAATTCAGTGTCTTTCAGTTCCAAAGTGTTTCTAGTACTAAAATTCCCTTTTTATGTTCCTCTCCCTCCACCACAGGTCAGCAAGGAAACATTGTACAGGGAAACACTGTAGCTGTAGCTTTGGAACATAAGAGGAATGAAGGAAGTGGGTTTTGTCCCCATTCACTTATACTGGAGCTGTGTTAGAAAGGGATCTCTTCAAGGCCAATGTGAAGAGTAGGGAGAATTGCAATAACTTAAAACAGTTTAAATGTAGGCGTGTGAATGTTGCTTTTGAGAAACACATGAAAAAATCCAAACCTATCCTTTGAATGACTGTCTTCAGATAATCTTAGGACAGGAACAGAAATTCATTTGTTCCCTGGATGACCTTTGTTCAGCAAATGTGATATAGTCTCACTTCATTTCAGGACTGAAACCACAGATTTTCTCAGTTTCCTCAAAATAACCATTGAACTCAGTGGCACTACTTTGAAATTGCGCACTAAGAGAACATTTAGTGTATATATCACACTTTTCAGAATTTCTGGGTAATACATTTCTTTAACTGGCACCAGCGGCTGTTGACATCATCATGTGAAAGTGAGGAGCTTTTAATTTGAACGTTTTAACACCATAAAGATTTACAGTGTGTTTGGTCCACATAGTTTATTCTTGGATTCTAGAAAAACGTTTAGACCACCCAGTTTCATGATCGCATCCTTGTGCACACCATCATTGGCCTGGAATTTGGATGACTGTGACACAGAATGAGAATTGTAGAAGCAGCTGCATCCTTTACAGATATCAGTGAATTTCTTGAAATTGATAAGAACAATGAAGAATATGCTTGGGTGGAATCTAGTCATAGGACAAATACTAGTATCAGAATAACAGATGTTAGCGATGTGTAGCTTCCAGCATGTCTGAACCACTGAATGGATTCTTAATGTTCTCCTTTGCTTTCTTGCTGCATTGTTAATTATTCACACATAAAGTCAACCCCCATCCCCGTGTTTTATTCCTGCATCCTCACAGCACTGTGCTTCCTGTGGCTGTATGTCTCATGGTCCCACTATGAATTAGAGACCCAAAATGCATTCCTTTTCACTCTGCAGGCTTGACCAACAGGGGCCGGGGAGTTCATTGTAGCAATGAGACTGTTAATGGAGAAGCTGGATATGGACAAGGTAATTAATACATTAGTTTATAATAGTTATTCGCATATAAATTGCATTAAGGTTTACAGTGATCATCATTTTTAAAACACTTTTTAGATGATTGGATTATTAAAAAGAAAAAAACAATAAGGGACCCTGTACAGTGTTTACTTTGTGTTTGTCCCTTCTTGGATTGGATGTGATATCAGCAAGCAAATCCATTTTACTTTTTAATCAGACCTCAAATTTCATCCTGTATTTTTGTCAGGTCTCAGTGCATATGTGGTGTCAGTTGTCAGTAATCTCTTGTTTGTTTCTCAATCCCAGGTCAGAGCCATAAAACTCTAAGCTCTACTCCAAGCCATCAGTCATCCCCACTGGGCCTAACTAACAACTCTGGCTCCAGACAGGGCCAAGGCCCTAGCCACAGGCCCAGAGGTAGGTCTGGATATTACAATATTACAAATTATTTACAAGTTAGCAGGAGTGTGAGTGTGTTTATGACAGCACATCAAAAATTTCAGGACTGTTATTTGATGAAGGCTCTCACCACAACACCTCGGGGTCTGTGTTTGCTCACCATGGCAACATGAGAGGTAACCCAGGGTCAGCAGATTACACTTACAACACCTCTAGCTCCAATTCACCTGTTGCCTTCAGAGGAACTTCTGCAGGATATTTCTATAAACATTTGTTAGAATGTTTTGTGAAATCTCTCTTGCATTCCAGTACATACACTGTTTCACACATAACAAAACACAACCTTGACTAAAAGCGTAAATTATATCAAACTTTATAAGTAAGAATGCAATGATATGAGCTTTTTACATTATAACAGTCTCAGAAAATATCAGTCACAGTATTACAGTATATAATCTATAGTGACCCTTAAATGAAAAGAGAGGGGTCCCTTTTATTGCCAGTGGATTGAGCTGGATTGCAGCACTGCATTGACCCTAAAGAATAAACAGAATTATAAAGATGATAAAAAGTAGCATACAACTATAACATCTTTTATAACTAAAGCATGTTAATTTGCATGTTAGCATCAGAAGTAGAGGAAGCATTCACATCTTTTACTTAAGTAAAAGTGTTGCTGTCACACTGTAAAATTAGACTATTCTGTTACAAGTAAAGGTTCTGCATTGAAAATGTTACAGTAAATAATATTATCATGAAATGTACTTAAAGTATTAAAAGAATTACTAGGCTATTCAATGCAGAAATACAGTATGTTGTACTACATAACTATACTATACACATACACTGATGTAAAAGCAGGATTTGACTGTTATAGCTGGTTAAGGTGGAGCTCTGCTCTCTCTGCTTTTGTATCCAAGTGCAACTACTGATTATTTTCATTATGATTTCATCTGCTGTTTATTTTGTCCATTAATGGACTGATTGCTTTGTAAAACCTCTAACAGTAGTGATACATGTTGTCGCAATGTTCTAAATGATTATCAAAATATTTGAAAATTTATTGTAGGTGTGTGACAGTGCAGTGTACCTTCACTCACTCCCACATTCACTTACAGTATGTGAGCCGGGAACGTTTGTGTATGTTTCTTGATGGGACCTGATCGGGGTCTCTGTGAGAACTGTGTTCTCGAAGGTGTTTGTTTTTGAAATATCTAAAGTAATCCTGCACTGCTGATTTTAATTTCTTTTTCGATGGATGGAGTTTGGTGATTTCAGCCTCCTTCTCTCTGCCATTTTTCTGCTGCACGTGTGCAGGTGCATGTGGTGTGCACCTGTTCTGACTGGCACACACATTGCGTTTTTTTTTTTTCTTCAGTACTGGTGATAAGCAAATGTGTATGGTATGATAACCATCAGTTTTCCTATTGTGAAACCAGGATACCGCTGCAACCCTATGTTTAAGTAGCTGCAGTGCAGTCAAGTTACTCTCTACACCCTGAGGCCTGCTTAGAGCCCAGACTCTGATTTAACAGTCTGACTGAGTCTGTTCACTGTTTAATGTTGAAAGCTGATATTCTTCAAATAAAATATGAGAGGGGTGTGATGCATTACTACCAGCCAGAGAAATAAATAATAAAAGTGTTACCATCTATCACTGATTGGTCTTGCTCCAAAGTGACTTTATATGCATTTCAGATTCTACATACAGTAAAGTTTGGTGTAATCAGCTGGTGCCCAGATTCGATTAATAATAGCACTAATATTTGTCCTAGACCCATCGGATCATCAGACTCGCTCAGCTAGCCTCTCTAGTGATGATGTCATGGGTCTCAGCCAATCTCAGCAGACGTTGTCGCGTAGTTCCACCCTTCCATACGACCATACACCCCAGAGGGCCCAGCCACAGCGTGGAGGCGGGGTTAGGACTAAGACTCGTCCCTCTTCGCCTGGAAGTGAGATGGTCACACTGGAGGAGTTTCTACAAGAGAGCAACTTAAAGTCACCTCCTATGGTAAGGTGTGTGTGTGTGTGTGTGTGTGTGTGTGTGTGTGTGTGTGTGTGTGTGTGTGTGTGTGTGTGAGATTCTTGTACTAGCTACATAGTGATGACCAAAAAGTATTTTTGCTTTGGAAAGTGAGGACATTTTGGCTGGTCTTCACCTTTTTCAGGTTGAGTTTCATGATTCAGGCTAGAATTGGGTCTAGAGATTTAGAGTAAGGGGCTAGGGAATGCATTATGTCAATGAGTGAGATGGAAGTGTGTGTGTGTGTGTGTGTGTGCACGTGCATATACAAACAAACATCATATGTACAGAAATGCCCTCAGAATCCACTTTATTATATATAGCCTACCTCCGTATTTTTACATTTCATCTTTCCAGCCAGTGAATTGCCTGCAAACAAAGCCTACCCAGCAAATAACAGACACTGGAGAGATGTTCATGTGATGTTGGTTGGTCCTTTTTGTATGTTTGTGAGACGTGTGGTGGAGGTTCAAAACCCGACATTTGGATCTCATTTTGGTTGTTTGGATGTCTAATACAACTTTAGTATTTTGACGTCTGGCATGGACCACCTTTCTTCGTCTGTGGACATACAGATTGGGCTGGATGTTTGAATGTCTAGTCTGGACTTATTTATTTTAGACAGAGCGTCTCAAGTAAGCATGATTCCACTGTAAAAGGATATGATTGTTTGGAGCTTTTGGGGCAACATTTTCAACAAATATGTGGGTCTTGTGTTTGGTAATGAAGAAACATGTCACCCAGTAGAGCGGTGTTTTTCACTGATGTAATTTTCATTGTTTTAGAACAACAGAGGTCCATGGAACAGATGAATAAACTAAGAATAAGTTGACTGACAGAAAGTTCTTATCTCATTCAGGATGTAACTAAAGGTTGTGAACATCCACTCAAAACTGTCTTCTCAACTTACAATTTTTTTTCCTTAATTTTAGTAACTTTTGTAAGTTGAACAAATGCTAAAATCTCAACCCTAACTTCAAAAGTCAAAGGATTTAGAGACTCTGTGCTGTTGGGATGTATTCATCATGCACAATGTATTCCTTCCCTTTGTTAGATCCTTAGGTTACACGTACTATATGTTTAATCTATACATGTTTAGCTTAGAAAGAGATGCTTTAATTTTTATTATTCATTTATTTATTTATTTATTTATTTATTCCAAGCATGTAATAAAAGAGGAAAAAAAGGGAAAAAAAAGGAAATCAACATGTAACACAAAACAACCAAACCAATTACCATATACAACCAAAAAAAATAGAAATTTGTCTTGATAATGCTTAGTCAGGGCAGCACGGTGGCACAGTGGTTAGCCCCGGTGCCTCCCAGCGCGCACGCTCCGGG